AATTTGCGAAAGGCCAGTTTCAGTTTAGTTTCTTTCCTCTCCACCGACTTGTATTTTTCCAACGTAGCCTTGTTGCTAGAACCCGTATCGTATATTGAAATCCGGGTTCCAACATATCTTTGAACTATGTGCGTTGAAGGGGTTCCGGGAACGCGTGAAGCGCTTACTTCGCGCTGCGGATAAAAATTAGGGGGCCGGGAGGAACTGCAATTGCATGTACCCCTTTTCATCGCTCTAGTTTCATCTCTCTCATCAGTTAGAATATAGAAGATACACGTTTCTAAGCATGGAATAAAGATAATTACAAAGAACGATAGTCGTTTCATTTTACCCATAATCCCAATACCAACGAAAAGTATCCCTGCGTTAATTAGTCGTCGATCAGCTCGATTTCTCTGGTTGTTCGGGACGCGCAGTGTCGCCGGTTCATCGGCAAGCGAGTTAATTTCGTGGCGACCGCGAAAATAGACACGCGCGGCGAATCAAACGACGCCCCTTCGTCGATCGACGCGACGTCGCGACGGTGAAAAAGTCGCGTCCCCCCAATATCCGCGCGAAACCAGTCGCCCACCTGTCCCTCCGCCCTTCTATTAATAAAACCTCGTCGGCACGCGGAAAACCGCGACGCGTTTATTTCACGATGAATCGACGCGTCGATTCGCTTTCGTCTTCTCCTCGTCGCGTTGGGGGAATTTTCGAGCAGAAAAGGATTCGGGACTCGCGAAACTTTCGCGAATCTGCGATCGGGCACCGGCAAATCCGTTTTCGCGCAAAAATCCGGCAATTCGATTCCGAGAAGGACGATTGGTCGCGTAACTGATCCTTGCTGCGAATAAAACGCTACGGCCGGAGGCACGAGTTAATTCCACGTTGGCCGGGGCACCGGTCCCCCGCGTCTGAAAGGCGTTGCGAACACGGAGGAATCGACGGGGAGGATGTAGAAAAATCGGCGCGCACGGAACGCGAGCGTATTTCGCGTTTCCACGCGAATCGCATAATCGACGGCGTATCGTCGGTGTATCGTCGGCTTAAACGGCTGGATTCCGTGAGAACGGGGTTCGAGATAAATTGAATAACGACACGCTTGTTCCAGCGAAATTGCTTAGGCGCACCGTTCCGCACGGCTCGATTTAACGCCAATAAAACGACTTCCAGCAACGCGAGCCATCGCCGCGTTGTTCCTCTTTGTCCTCGATGGCCCCCGTGTGTCCGCGCGCACCGTTCTCCGTGTCACCCTTCTCGTCCTCGGCGGAGCCCCCGGAAAAGCGCAAGATATTTCGGGGGTGGCTCGACGAAGAGGGAGATAACGAGATTCCTCCGACCATCGATGACGGCTCGACTGTTTTAAACGGAGCCGGAAAACCAGTTAAGAGCGAACAAACGGAGTTACGGACGGCGACGGGAGCCGTTGGTGCTCGATCAACGATCACGCTGATCCGGTTTAATCCGCGTCTTAGTTAACACCGTGGAAAAGCCGTGGCATATCCTGAGAGACAGCCGGTTAAAGCTCCTTCTCCCCGCTTCCATTTCCACCGCGTTTCTCAGGCAGCCGGAGGTTTCGAGTCACGGCCCTCCACGCATACATTTCATCCCCCTGCGACCGCGGTTCGATTTCCATTGGAGAATACGACCCGACGCCACCCGACCCGCCTTCTATCGGGAAAAATTACCGCGGTGGTTAATTCCCAAGAACCAGTCGAGCCACCCCCGGGGCGAGGGGATAATAATCGGCCTCGTCCTCGCGACGAATCTTCCAGCTCGTCGAGAGTGTATCGACTTGGATGGTCTTTCCAGAGCCCGTTGTCGCGACAAAGGTTAGCGAACGGAGGGTGGCCCCCTCGATCCCGTGGGGTAAGCGTCGAGTTTGTTATTTCGCCCGATAACCGGGGCTCCTAGCCTCGTAGCCCCGAGACTCCGCGGAAGCTCGCGCCACGCGAATACCTTAATCGAGATCCCCGCGAGGAAGGTCAGGGGTTAATTCGATAATTTCGATCAATTTTACGAGAAGAAGCTTATCCACGAGGTAACGACTGCAGCTTCTGCTACCCCGCAGCCCGCGCGTTTGCCCGGGGTGAAAATTGAATTTAAGGAATTACGCGGCGTCGTCGTTTCCATCGAACGACGGAGTTTCGATGAATCCCATTAGCCTCGATGATACCGCTTTCGGTTAACCGACACCGATCGAATCGACGCGATTCAACGCCGTCGATCTTTGTCTCCCCCGATTCGACCGGGCCCCCACGCGCGTACGCGCAGTCGAGACCGCGAGGGGTTCGCCGATACGTGAAAGTGGACGCGATAACGTCGATAACCAGGGAAGCGTAATCGCGGCAGTCGCGACTGCTCGAAAAATTCCTCGCTGCCGCGGTAAATACGCGAAATACGCTTTTGTCGAGGCAAAGCCTCGTACTCGTACTCGAGCGGGTAAGCGGGCACGATAACCGCTCGCGCTAGAAAATTAAGAGGGATCGGCGAAGGAAAAGACAAAGACGAGGAATATGAAAATTGCGGGTTTATCGCGATGCGGAGCGGGCAACGAAATCCCTTATCGTCCCGCGCAGAGCCGGGGAGCCCGACGTTATCGGGATTGGACAAGGCCGTGAGCCGGTTGCCTGATAACGCACGAGCCTCTCGCGCATCGTCGCTGGTTCCGCGGAAAAAATACACCCAGCCGTTTTTATCGTGCCACGGAAATCCAAGACGCGGCCGAATCCGAGGGCTAATTAGCCGCGCGATTCCGTGTGTCCGAGTCGATAAGGCGCCGCGAAGTTTTTAACCGCCTCGCGCCGATGCTCCCCCCGTGTATCTCGACTCCTCGCCGCGGAAGATAAATCGGTCTCGGCGCCGAAACGCGCCGAAACGCGCCGAAAGGTGACCGGACGCACACCTGTTCCGCTGGAACCTCGGGTCTCCGAGCGAAGGCACGACGGCGATTACGGGCCAGGAAACAATTAGGGCCGATGATACACGTCCGACTACTATATCGCGTGCACACGGCCGATCGGAGCGCCCCCTTAAAACGGAGCGCCCAAGCGGCGTGTTAATTCCAACGGCCCGACGCGCTCGTCCATTCGCCTCTTCCTCATTCCCATCCGACCTTTGCCAAACGCTCCACCGAATTCCACCGACCTTGATTACCCCCGGGATACTGACACCTCTCTGACGAACCTTCACGCACCGTCGCAAATTCGTCCACGACGAATCCTGTACATCTCTTGCAACCCCCTCCTGTCCCTTTCTTTCCTTTTCTTTCCTTTACATTTTCCACGATTCCCCGCGACGACTTTTATCTCCCGTACCGATGTTTGCATTACGCGCGAGGAGTTTAGAATCACGGGAACGAAACGGTGGAGCCCCTGGTGGCACCCCCCCGGAGTCCCCGTTCGTCGGAATGCGAGTTAACGAGTCGAAGAACGACGGAGAATCGAATCTTGTTTACCTCGATACCGAGTTCCCGATCGCGTCGGAAAAGTCACGTCGTCCTCGACGATACGACCCAGTTCGCCGACGAGGGACCCGACAGGGTTATTAAGGGCAGTTACGATGGCCGAAAACCGACTGCGAGAGAGGGATGAAAGTGGGAACGTGTTCTGCCTACCGTTTCGAGGCTCGTTAATTTTCTTTCTGCCGCGATAGGGGAATGCGCCGATTTCAGGAAATTGTCCGACCCGATCTATAAAGATACAGCCTCACTAATCTCCAGCGATATTGCGCCGCGTCCGGCGACCCCCTAAATAGCCCAGTGCCTGCAGCTCCGCACCCGGGTTCGCGATCCCGACGGCATCATCCTATTTTTCCGTCGACGAATTTTCCACCGAAAATTTTACCCAATTTCTCTTTCCTCCTTTTTCCTCTTTTACAATCGCGTCCCTTGCGCGAAGGAGAAAAGGATGGCGCGCGGAAACGGGGAAGATGGCGGGCTCGAGCGTGGCGACGCGAGATGCGCGAGTTACGCGGTATGCAAATTCAGTAGGCACGACGATATACGATTCCGATTAACCATTCGCGAGATTACGCGACCGCATACTGCCAGTAAATACTACGTAGTCGGCGATTTCATCTCGGAATGTGGCAAGAGCCGACTCTATCTACCGCCTCCTTTGTCACGTGTTCGCTGACAACGTTCGCGACGGGTATCGTAAACAGCGCGATGGCGCGTGTTATTCCGAGTATCGCGTCCGGCCGCGTCCGAGAAAGCGGGGAGAAAGGAGGGAAAATAAAATGGCCGGGGAGAAATTGCACGGGATAACGAGGCTCTCCGTGAAAACACGGACGACGCGAACGCTTCGAGAAATTGCCGGTCGAAAAGCACGGCGATCCGGATCGTGAAAGACACGCGAGACGCCGGAGCGGAAGTTCGCGGGAGGGGCGAGGAAACGGCGACGCAGCTTCCTGTCGACACGTGGGAAACTTTCGAACATCTTCGGTCGGCTTCCACAACTCGCGTTGCGTTTCCCTTTTTTCCCAAGAGTTTCGCGCCGCGACACCGTTATCGCTGTAAAATACGCGGCACGCGAGCAGACCGGCGCGTGGAAATGTAGACGTCCGGGCGGAAAGCTGCGATCGGGGGAAGAATTTAATTGAAACGCGGCGATAGGGAGGCAGTAGTCGCGCGCACGCATAATTAATCCCCGTCTTTGACGGATTAATTCTCGTTAAACCGGTTCCGGAGTGGCGCGTCTCTGGTATCGAGCGCCATCTACGCGATTTAGCGGCGCAGCGTGGAGTGGATCCCGGGGTCTCGTTAAAAATCGTCTTCCCGAGCGAAACGAGATCGGCGAAAAATCTGCGTCATCCATCAACGTTCTGCCAGCGCGGTCCAGGCCTTTCCCACGCGGATAATTAGTCGGTGGAAATCGATAAATTCCGACGCGGAATATCAAGCGCCGGGCGCGCGACGATTTCGGCGCCACTGCGCGCTGTTCCGGGGAAACGATGATCGATCGTTTCCCCGGGATATAAACGTTCGAAAGATCGACGAGAATGTGTAAAATACTTACGCCGATAGCCTGTTGACGCTGTGCCTCTCGCGCTCTGAAACAGAGAGAAAAGGGGATGGTAATTAGCATCGGCTGAGGTAATTAGCGTTCGATTATCGGCGTGCCAAGGACGAGGATCGAGGAGGCGGAGTAGACCACGGTAGATCCTATCGCGTCGACTGACACGATGATATCGTTGCGCCGAGATTCGGTGCGCCGAGAACATCTGGCACGAGATATTCGCTCCTCGATCATCGATAGCGGACACGCGCGATCGCTAGATCCTCCATATTGTCCTTGATACGCGATAAGCGTAGCGGTGTCGGCTCGTCGCGAATTTTCCGCGCGAGCTTTCCACGATCTCGCTATCCTCCTCGCGTCGTGAATCGATTAGCCATTACGAAAGCGGACGACGTAGTCATCAGCGTGCATAATCGCGAGAATTTTCACGCTCGGATCGATGAGATCGCGAGTTGTCGCGATCGCACGGACAAACGAAACCCCTCCGCCATTATCCACGGCGATCTTGACATCTGCCAGGGGTAAAGATATTCGTACGGCTTCGTCCTTGAGGACGCACGAGGCAAACGGTGTCCCTCTCGTGCTATACAGACGAATCGCTGCGAGAGCAACGGTGCACGCGAGGGATGGTGAAATGTTTCCAGAGATCCCGAGCGAGGATCGATTGGTTGGACGGTGGTAACCTTTGCGACACCGTTGCACGACCAGCTCAGCTCCCCTTGCGAACGCAGCGAGCCGGCGACGAAGGAAGAAAAGAAGAAAGGAGCTGACGAGCGAGGAGAAAGAAGGGAGGAGGAAGCAGGAGAGAGAGAGAGAGAGAGAAAGAGGGAAAGGCGAACCCGGTGGTGGAGGCATTGCGTAAACAATGGAAAGCGACATGCACGCACGCAGGCAGGCACGCACGCACGTAGGCAGCAGCGACCGCATGGGAAAGGGGCTGCGAACAGAGGACACGGGCTGCTGGGACTGGGTCAAAGAGAGAGAGAGAGAGGGTGCGACGCGGAAAAAGGGGAGGCTCGACCTCGAAAGAGAGGGTTGGTTGCGCGTCTTAACAACGGAGGACTGCCATCGAATTCGATCTCGGATTCGGCCTCGCGTCGCGCAGCTTTTCGTCCCGCTCCGACGAAACGAATAGAAATTTTATTTCCTCGCGCGGGGAGAGGGCTTGTAATGGGACGAAATAAATATAGTTTCGCAGGGGGACGGATGAAATTCTTCGGTTTCGCGACGCGTTACCGCCGGTACCGGCCGCGCGTTAACGAATTCCATATGTAACGCGATTAATATACGATTACCGAGTTAGACGCGTCGCGATGTCCAATTAGAGGTATGATTTATCGCGCGATCGTTGCTCGAACGGGGAACTCGTGCGTCCGCGTGCACACGAGGTCTCTCGCTTCCCTTCTCTCTCTCTCTCTCTCTCTCTCTCTTCCTCGCCTGTTCCGAACAAAAGCTAGGAAATTCCCTGGCAGTGTTCCACCGGCTAATTATCACTGTTCACAGTGGTCACGGACCCCTCGCGAACTATTCGAACGGATCGCCGCGATTAATCAATGACACGCGCAATCGCGCTCGATACCGGTCCGCGAATAATTAGCGTCGAGGTATCGCGAGGATGTTGCATAATTCCGCCGAAAACCTGCCTTTGTCCGCCACTGCGCGTCCAGCCCTGTCGCTTCGCCCTCTTCCGCGTATCTCCTCCGAGGTGTCTCTCGTTGCACGCGCGCCCATCCCGCGTGTTTGCCCACCGTGCAATTCCTCCCTCGACCTTGACCACGTCCACGATTACGACTACGACCACGACCACGGTTATCACCTGGTCGTGCCCCATCTTTCTCCGAGGAGCGGTTGTTCCCCGGTACCGCGGTCGCGGAAAAATTCGACCACGAACACACCTGATAAGGGAAGATAGGCGTCCTGGAGTAGCTCGAATCCGACGAGCATGTCTTATCGCTCGAGTCGCAGTCGATAACGCCGTCGCCGGAGCCACATGACGCTCGCGATCGTGCGTGCACGCGCGCGTCCCATCGGCCGCTTCAGCTCCGCTCGCGATCAATCTTCCTTTCGCTCGCTTTTCACCCGCTCGTTGCTTTTGTTCGTCGCTGGATCGGAAATGCCGGCAGCGCCGCGTGAAATCGAACCGACCGCGTCCATTGATCGGCGCGTATGCAAATCGCGTCGCCCTCGATTCCGCTGCGGCGCATCAAGGTCGCCGACGTGGTCGCGTTCGCCGAAGGATCCCTCGACGGATCCCTCGACGGATCGATGGATCGCCGCTCTGGCAGACGCCTCGGACCTGTCTCGCCTCGAGCCGAGACGACGTTCGAAGCGGGAGAACGGCGCGATTCGTCACGGATTCGAATATCAGAGCGCGCGAGAGAGTCGGCAATGCTCGAGGGGATGTCGCACTACTGCGAGAACGTGGTAACGGAAGCGGCTGTCGAGCGCGTTCGCTCGCAGTGACGCGCATCGGTTGACTGAGGCTCGGCTCGGGGCCCGTCAGGGCCTGGCCCATCGCTGCCAGTCGAGTTTGCTGGCTGCTTTTCTGCCTGCTGGTAGTCGCACACGCGCCAACCCGGGGCCTCTGTGCCCCGCAGCTTGCTAAGCAGACGGTCGCTTCACCTGCGTACCGATGCCTTTTGTTCGGCACACCCCTCTCTCTCTCGCTCTTTACCTCTCTCTCTCTCTCTCTCCCTCTCTCTGCCTTTCCAACGTCCCTCGTGATCGCGATCGTTCGCGTCCTCTCTAACTCTCGCGGCCATTTTCTCTCCGTCTCCGTCCCCGTCGTCTGTTTTCTGCCCCGTTTTTCGCGTCGGGTTCGATTAAAACGCGATCCCGCGACGAAAGATCCACGGAGACTCCTCGAAGCTCGTCGTCCAACGTCGCGTGTATAGCCCAATCTCGTTTTTCCTCGCCTCGAGCCTCGTTCCAGCGAGCCTCGCGAGTTCGACGTTCTATCAGGCAGCCATAAAGGCAACTATCGATCAGGATATAGCGCACGGTCTGTGTTTATGGAAATGTGTGCGTGCGCACCGTCCGTAAAGGATCGAGCGTGTGTTATTAAGGTGTGCAGTTAGCCGGCACACGCCTCGACGGATGGCAGACCGGTGCACCTGTTTCAGCAAAAGGATCTGGTTGGACCACCTTACCCTTCGATTTTCTCCTTCTCCCTCTCTCTCTTTCTCTCTATCTCTCCTCCGTGCTCGTCTCGTTCGCCGGAGACGCTTCTCCGCGGCCCGTTGTTTCGTCCACTTTCCATCACCCTCCCCCTGTCGCTCCCTCTTCTTCTTCTTCTTCTTCTTCTACCGTGATCAAAATTCAATGAGACGATCACGGACGATCGTATTAGCAGGGCCCAGAGAGGTTATCCGAGAAATTAGGTTCCCGAGTGCAGCAGCGTGATTCCGAAGAGACGAGGCAGGGTCGTTTTTGTCCGGCAAAAAGGCCTGGATCCGCGGCGCGACAACCGCCTTGTACCCCTCGCCGTCTACGCCGTATCGCTTCGTGATTCGAATGGAATCCTCCCCGGGCATCCGTCTCGCGATCCATCGTGATTTAAACCGCTCCCGGAGAATGTGTAACGAGTGCCTTCGCTCGTCGTATCCGACGCATCTCGCGCTACGTATTCCAACGGTGTACGTCCTTGTTCAATATACAGCATCGCTCTAGACGCGCTGGAATATCGCGGGATTTTATAACGAGCGTCTGCCGTGATCCGAATATCGCGTCGCGAGCATCGCGGCCCCGGTTAACAGCCGCGATTACCCGCTCCGAGCGTCTAATGAGAGTCCGATTGTGTTTGCAAACGCTCGTGCAACAATGGCCGATTGTTCTACGCCGCCAACGGATATAATTCCCCGACGCTCCGATCCTTTGACTTTCGTTTAATTGATTACGCGTCGAGTCGAGGACGACGCCGTCATCGCGACGCGCCTCTGCGTCCACCTGTGTGGGTGCACCACCACGCGTCATACGCATCGCAGCGCCAAAGATCCAGAGGTTTCCGTCCCCTCGTCATCTGGTAGAGGACACCAGAACGGTAGACGAGACATTGGACTTTTCATTGGGTACCATGCGACTTTGGCTCCCGCGGGGACGAGATTCTCGAGATCTTCGAGATTATAGCGATTATCGAAGCAAAACGATCGTGGACGGGGCGATTTTGAGCAAACGTGGGGCACGTCGCTGTCACGATAGTCGTTCAAGACTACCGGGCACCGATTTTTGTGTTTCTCACTATGGGGAATAGTCATGCATTGCTTGGAGATGGGAACGAGGGGCACCGGTGGTACACGCCGCGCGATGGAGGACCCGAGTGTGAACCACCGGTGGTACACGCCGACGTGAACGCGTTAAACGCGATTTTCGTTCATAGCGAACTTGGAGATGGGAACGAGGGGCACCGGTGATACACGCCGCGCGATGGAGGACCCGAGTGTGAACCACAAGTGGTACACGCCGACGTGAACGCGTTAAACGCGATTTTCGTTCATAGCGACGCTGGTAATAGGGATACAAAACAGTCCCCCTCTTGGGACGCGCGGTCCTAGGGCCGCATATATGCGTTTCTCGGCCATAGCAACGCGTTCACGTGGGGCACGTTTGCGACGGTCCCTCGGTCCTATCAGTTCTTTTCGCCGAACGCAAAGGGTTAACCCTTTGACTACTGTGGGCGCCTAAAGTTGCTTGCTACTAAAGTTTAAATACGTACAGTAACCATTTACTGCGGAATGCAAAGATATAAACATTGTTTTAATACAGTGCAATATAGCATTTCGACTATTATTTAAATATACGATAATTTCTGAGAAATGCACACCAAACGAAAAATTTCGCAAATGGATTCCCACCGTATGGTATGACCGGTGCGTTTTAAAGTCTGCCATAGCCAAAGGGTTAACTAGATCTCGGGGGCCGCGGTCCGTCCGATAGGACGAAAGACGCCGAATAGGGAAACGATGAGATTGATCGTTAAGGCGACCCAGATTCTCTGAAACGCAACGATGTTCTGGCTCGCTTGCCACGTTACCTGGA